TATAAACACCTATCATGTAACCCCTCATTTTAAAGGGTGGATCAAGAGATATTGAATGATGCAAACCAGAGGTCAATATTGCACCCCTAATCAAAATGGCAGCCAATTTAATTTAAGATGAGTAAGCAAGATAAAGTCTGGACACCCCCAGTAAACTTTAAAACGTGTGGCAGTGGGAAAACCAAACTCGGTACATGCTTACAACTTAAATAATGCACTTTTTCATTAAAGTAAGAATTAATCTAGAGGTTAAAATACCTTTAATCCGTCAATGTGATCAAATGTCACTGATGAGCGGCGACCGGTTACAGTCCAGCTGTGGGGCCATCTTCAGGCGATGAAGGAACATAAATATCACTCCGAAGAGGTCGTCATAAAGTCTATACATACGTCACGAGAAACAACACATAAATACATTATTTACAAATTGTGTAAACAAAGGTCAAGCACCGAGTTTGTATTTCTTACTACGGGGCTCATTGAGACGCACGGGTTTCCTAGTATATAATATATAATTGAACGGATCGTGTTTTGGCCTCTGGGGACATCTAAACAAAAAAGTAAATCAGACCCGGTCCAGGTCTTACCATGAGAAATTCTCTAATAATACTCGTATCACATAAAAACACTAGTCTTTATTATCAATACTTGCAAAGCACAATCAACCTAATTTTAGAAAATATTTGCAGTGTATTATTGTTTTGAATTCCACCTTTGAAAGGAATTACGTCTAGAAAATGTTTAGCGACGATTAACATTGGCAAGACGTTCCTTATTAAAAATGCAAGGCTCTCATCTGATGTAATGAAGTATTCATAAACTCGATTCATTCATTTGCGTTCAAAGTGTTAGTTATCTGAAGTTTTGGAACATTTTACAAAATTTTACATTTATGATAAAATATTATATTATTTTATTTGTAATACTGAGTTTCATTTATATTTCTTGGAAAATGAAGTTTTGGACATTACATTAACGACCATGATTAAACAGTTCTTCAAGCTGTTGCAAAATGTCTAGGAAACATTTTTCTGCGTCCATCTGCCCTAACCTCTCATCATTATGTACTAAATATTTCTTTATTATAATGTAAATATAATGCGCGAAGAACCTAGTAATTCAAATTCAATTACACTTATTTATGTGACAGAAAATAGCGATCGTAATTTGGTATTCTATACTCTGATTGCATCGTATCTCATGGATGAAATTTAACATTTTGTAAATAATTTATATTCTAGCATCTGATTATTCTTTCAATCCCATATGGTTTTTTAGTCCATCAAAAAATCCACCTATTCTCTCCAAGCGTTTGTTTTATATTCTGTTACAAATATTTCACCACACCAAAACTCATGATCTAACAGATTGTTATTTTTAGTTTGAGAGATTAGAGGTTAAAAGTGTGTTTTTTTTTTTAATTCCGTGTGTCTTAGATCGTGGTACTGTGTTTTGTTTTTGGAGGAGGGGAGAAAAAGAAAATGTTGTCCGCACACAGGTGGCCAGTCTGTAGTGTAATAATTCTGCTTTCAGTCATTTTTAGAGGACCAGGCTTATTAAGAAGACCACGGGATTGCATCGCAGCTGAAATAGCTTATTGTGCACCCTCATTCACAGGTCCTCATTCTCCGTCAAATCCTAGGTTCTTAGTGAACCATGAGATCATTTTGACTATGGTTATCTGTTCTTCCCTTTGATCTCCGGTCGATAGGCCAAGGGATCTCATGCGCAGACCTTGTAGAGCTGGGCCCATAAATATCACGTGGAAGTCTGTATACTCTTCATTACCACATTTTCTACATTAGAGGCTTTCAACTTGAAGCTGGGAAATGTTGTGTAGATGTCCGCGGAATACCCAGTGGCCGCTGATAAAGCCAACCACATTCCGCAGGGTCTTCCTACTCAGCCCAAGGGCATCTGCCGCTATCGCACCGGTATGTGTCTGCAGCATTCTCTTTGACTGTATGTTGCCTTCTGTTATTTCCCCAACTCCTTCGATGTTCTATGCCCATCCACTAATCTATAATTACTTCACCAAATATATTCAATTCAATATTCAATATTGATATTCAATATTCAATATTCAATTCAAATATATTCCGGGTAAGATCAAGTAATGAGTTTGATGATTAAAAGTATTTTAACTACTATTTTCATTGTTAGTAAGTTTTAAATGTTTCACAAGGTAACTTGAGTTGAACCATGATAGACATGATAGGTGGATAGCTTATTTAAGCCAATGATTAGTTATCTTCATTACTTTACATGAAACTGTTTACGTTGTACATGTAGATTTAGGTTCCCTTAATACCAGGAATAATGTAAAATCCAAGTTAGTAGTGGCTCTTACCGTATTGGCTTCCAGCTAACTTCTTCTAACCTTTGGTTTAACATGTAGAAGACTTTTAGGTAGCTACAACTAAAATCACCAAGTTTCAATCTTCGTTGACGACGTTGAAACATTTGCTAATTTTTAACTTTTACACTTCACAATATGAATTTACAAACTTATAAATATGCATAAGCTATTATTTGCAATTGTGTTGATTTATGGAATCTTGGTTTTCTTTAACTATAGAATACCAAAACCCTACAAACAGTTCGTATTGAGCGGTATTTCACAGTCTTGTGCTATTGATTTTTTTAAGGTTCCTTTGTGGTGAAAATGTAAAACCTAAACTTGAAAAGCAAAACATTTTTGCAAAGGGCAATATCTTAACTGCTCAGGAAAATCCCTAGCATAGCTGAAGTTAAATGTGAAATGGATAAGACAAATGTAGACGGATTTATTGTTGGAAGTTTAAAACTTTGACGGACACCCATGCAATATCGTGCCCGTCACCTGGCGGTACATCACTTTCTCAACTTACCTCATCTAAATGTTTACTCATATCTATTTTCCATTAAAATTGTATACCTCTAATTTTTATGATTTTTGAAAAATTAAATACAAATATAATGTTATATTTCACATGGACAATTTAAATATATTGGCTCGACTTACTAGGTAAGATAACATTTTTTCATTTCAAAATACGACTTACGATGACTCTTTCAAGTCACCAAAACTGCACAGCTGATAAATGAACCAAAAGTAGATTCATTAGGTCCACCTGGATAAAAGATGATTCTAGTCAGCCGAGATAAAGAACAACTCATTAATTGTTGAAAACACTAACCAAAGTATTTTTTTTTTTTTTTTTTGAGGTTGGCGACTTCTTTTTACCGTGCATTTGCGCGTCCACATAGACTACAGATCTGTGCGTGGAACGTATCCAGCAAAGCAAGGGGTGAGCCGGTACCGTACGAAGGTGAACTGTGACCTACTGATAATTAATTTTAGTGGCAGTGACCAGGATCCGAACCCACGACATCGCTGCCTTGGGCCCGAAGTTTGTGACGCTACCAACTGAGCCACCGACTCACCAATTAATTTATTAATGGTTATTTGCAAACACCGTTTACACTACTTGTCTATCTGTTTATGCATACAGACCTGTTTTTGATTAGAAGTATACTTTAAATGTCTAATTAAAAGGAATACCCGAACCCAACTGCTAGTTATTTGTTATAGAGTCCAAAGAATTTCCTGTAGAACATTCAAATTCTACAAATACTATTTCCCACTTGTAGTCTAGTCAAAAAAGGGTTAACCTCCGAATAAATCCGAAAAAGTTGAAACTTTGCACACTTATTTCTAGGTACTTAGGGAAGATTATACCAACAGTCCCCGTTGATATGAGGCGAGCTCTAGCGGCAATTAGCGAAAACAAGGCACCTTTTATGGTAATTTTGGTTTAAAATCTCAAGAACCGTTGATCGGAGTTACATTTAGCTGGCACCAAATGAAAGATCATTAAACTTTCAACAAAAATAATTTTTACACTTTTATTTGATTCCTAACGGTTACCGAGTTATAGAGCTTTAAAATATGGAGTTTTTTCTCAAACTGTCGGGGTGCGAACAATGGTGCAAACTAAAGTACAGACAGTTTGAAAAAAAACCGTCACATTTTAGCACCCTATAACTCGGTAACAATTGGGAATAAATTAAAGTGTAAATGTAAATTTTGTTGGAAATTTAATAATCTTTCATTCATAAATAATGGGTTCTTTTTTCGCTAATTGCCACTAAAGCTCGCCTCACATTTATGGGGACTTTTGGTATAATCTTCCCTAAGTACCTAGAAATATGTCTGCAAAGTTTCAAAACTTTCGGATTTTTTCGGAGGTTGGATCATTAGTTTATATATTTTGACTGAACTATTGTAGTCTCACCAAAAGTTAAACCAAAACTAAAATAAAAAAGTTAAACCAAGTATTATTACATTATTAATTTCCACAAGATATTTGGCAGGGAGTAGAAAGCCCTAAAACACCTGAAGCTGTGGTTTGTTGTTTTATAACTCTAAATTAAGCAATGCTGCGCCTGTGCAGAACCCCTGGTAGAATAACGAAGCAACAGAAGAACAGATTATTTAAAAATGTATTTATTTATTGATTCACGATCTAAATGCGCTTATTTCTCTTGCTGTTAAAATCAGTTAAATGGAATATTTTCTGTGGATAGCAATAAATATTCTTAACAACACAAATGAATATGAATTTGAATGCAAAGTAAAACCACAAATACTACGGTTTTGACAACATTTCTATGTTATTCTGAGTGTTGTTGACGGATACATCCTTCTTATCACGCACAGACAGAAGCCCATGTGATAATTTTTTCGATTAATGTAATGTTGCTATTACTTGTAGCACTAAAGATTGATTGATTGGTTGAGAGTTTTTTTTATTTGCCAATACAAACACCTATATTATGTATGTTTGTATATAACAAATTATCTAAAGTCATTCCTAATTAATAATAACACACCAGTACATTCCTGCAACTTGTTATACATTGCACCTGTAATGGGCACACACGAAAGAAGAACAACTTTTACGAATTTAACATGTTTATTTAAATTATGTTTATTTACACAATTTTTTATCTTATGTAAACCGTTTTTACAATCGCAACGCATTATTACTATTTAAAGTTACAGGAAATATTCACTTACACTTGGCTTGTGTAATCTCTGATGTTTAGAAAATAAATTGAAACTAATAGTCTCCGTCCCAAGATGTCTGGAGTAAAATAGGTGGGAGAGACTGATCGCTAGTCTCCATTCAAGATGTTTGGAGTAAAAGAGGTGGGACAGACTGAGCGCTAGTCTTCATTCAAGATGTTTGGAGTAAAAGAGGTGGGACAGACTGAGCGCTAGTCTCCATTCAAGATGTTTGGAGTAAAAGAGGTGGGACAGACTGAGCGCTAGTCTCCATTCAAGATGTTTGGAGTAAAAGAGGTGGGACAGACTGAGCGCTAGTCTCCATTCAAGATGTTTGGAGTTAAAGAGGTGGGACAGACTGAGCGCTAGTCCCCGTCCCAAGATGTTTGGAGTAAAAGAGGTGGGACAGACTGAGCGCTAGTCTCCATTCAAGATGTTTGGAGTAAAAGAGGTGGGACAGACTGAGCGCTAGTCTCCATTCAAGATGTTTGGAGTAAAAGAGGTGGGACAGACTGAGCGCTAGTCTCCATTCAAGATGTTTGGAGTTAAAGAGGTGGGACAGACTGAGCGCTAGTCCCCGTCCCAAGATGTTTGGAGTACAAGAGGCGGGACAGACTGAGCGCTAGTCCCCGTCCCAAGATGTTTGGAGTAAAAGAGGTGGGACAGACTGAGCGCTAGTCTCCATCTCAAGATGTTTCGAGTAAAAGAGGTGGGACAGACTGAGCGCTAGTCTCCATTCAAGATGTTTGGAGTAAAAGAGGTGGGACAGACTGAGCGCTAGTCTCCATTCAAGATGTTTGGAGTAAAAGAGGTGGGACAGACTGAGCGCTAGTCTCCATTCAAGATGTTTGGAGTAAAAGAGGTGGGACAGACTGAGCGCTAGTCTCCATTCAAGATGTTTGGAGTAAAAGAGGTGGGACAGACTGAGCGCTAGTCTCCATTCAAGATGTTTGGAGTTAAAGAGGTGGGACAGACTGAGCGCTAGTCCCCGTCCCAAGATGTTTGGAGTACAAGAGGCGGGACAGACTGAGCGCTAGTCCCCGTCCCAAGATGTTTGGAGTAAAAGAGGTGGGACAGACTGAGCGCTAGTCTCCATCTCAAGATGTTTCGAGTAAAAGAGGTGGGACAGACTGAGCGCTAGTCTCCATTCAAGGACTGCATCAGCATCAAACAGGTGATATGGGTCACTTTTGAAATGAAACTCTACTCTATTGCATATAGCACTATTGTCCGTTTGATTTGTTACTCCTTAAGCAAATAGCTACCGGACAAAGAGTTTGTATACAAAAACGGATCTTAATAAGTGAAATATACCCAGTGAATTTTGGGAGCATTTTATGATTATGTAGAAATGTTTACACTATTGAAAGGCTGGACAGAACACCAAATTTAAGTATATAATTTTTACAAAAAACAAGTTTAAAGCAATATTCTTTCATAAATAGGTCTGTATGACATGCACGTTTTACTTCTGAAAATCCAACTAAAAATCAAGGAATAAAATATTTCAAACTATTCTAGCTTGTTAGGTATGATTTTTTCTATGTGAATCATCTAAACAAATTCATTAATTTGTAGATATTTCACAATGTCTTATGAGTACCCTTTTAAAAACAAACATTTTTTTTTACGATTTAATGTGGTTTAAGTTATAGTAATATATTGACGGGAAACAAACCCGCACTTTTGTCACATTTTTCACAAATTTAATTGTATCCAGTTCAGAAATTTATAAAAAGAAGAAATGGAATAATATTTGATCATTTTTGATTCAGTAAAACTAGATTTGTTACTGACCATGGCAATGATATCCCATTTTACTCCTGGTCAAATATCCGTGGATCATTCAACTGTCGTCACTATTAATTGCCAGTTGCCTGGGAACTACATTCAAACTTTCCTCAATTTTAAACCACTCTTGTAACCCGTTAAATAGAAAATAATTAGGTTGACCATTGATAAAACTAAATACATCGACACATCCCATCCAAACATGCCAAATAGTACGTGCTTAGATTTAACAAACAACTAAACTAATTATAAATAGTTCCCAAGATTTTACTGGGACAAGTAATCAACCATGTGGTTTAAATCTGAATCAAACAGCAACAACCTATGTCGCCAACACTCAGTGGTCAAGAGCGAAAGCCGTTACAAAAATATCTATACATTTGCTGAATATAGTTAGTTTATGTCCCAACTTCTAAGTAAAACCCCAAATATCTACGTAAGTGTATTGTACGTATTTTGATACGCGCGTATTTTATTTAGATTATAAAAATTATAAAAGTAAATGTAGCGGAATGTATCTGTTTTAAATAAGATTTTGGATTTCAAAAAAAAACTTTTGTACAGTAAAATATTTGAAATATTTTTTTATATTGATTAAATCAGAGATCTCCAGATCAGAGATTAGAACGAAAAATACACTATTGCGCTGGACATATTTGTTTGGAAAGTATTGTTGAGTATTTAATTTGCTTTACTGAAGCAATAGTAGTTGAGTGGTTATAGTGCTCACCTAGCTATCATAAGGTCGCCGGTTCGATCCTGAGAAAATTCAGTAGCTTTTTGATGGTTCTAAACTGGGCCAGGCTGTCCCTGATCATTGGTCTTTAAATAAATGATGCTGACTGATGAAACAGCTGATCTTAGTAACAAGGCTACACAGGTCATCTGATAACATTCTACACTCATCATTCACTCATATTTGGGTTAAAATACGCACATAGTGGCGTCCCTATCGTATAATGATAATAATAGCTAGCTTAGGAACATATATCCTTCGTTGAAAATCAAACTATGGTATATCAACTAAATGATTTGATCCCTTGCATGTAAATTGATACCCCCTTGTTACTTAAAGTCACTTAAAATTGCTCGACGTGCAGACAAAAATACCGTCACGTAACAGAGTATCGATATATCACCTAATTGCTGTAAAATAATTTTATAAACATAATGCTATCGTGTTAAGCTTAAACAATTCATCCATTGCATTTAGTATCCATTTTTTATAGTAACTCATAGAATACATTTTGTCTGAACCATCTATCTTTTTTATAATTTTAATAAATATTATAATTCGTATTATTGTTATAATTTAGCAAATGATTCTAGGAATACTTGAATGACGTAGTAACGTTAAATTTTATTTAATTACTATAAATACAAAAACAAATAATTAAATAACACGACATCTTCGATCCAAAACTATCACAATTCTATTACATGGGCCCATTTGGTCCCTTTAGCTAACTTTAGTTCAATAGTTTACTTTATAAAATGTAAGGAAAGGGTGCCAAACGTGATTGATTGAAATTAGCATTACGTCATTATTTTTTATTGTAATATATAATATTGTTTAACCGTTTGTTTTCATGCCAAATTAATTCAAATTTACTGGTTATTAAATCAGTTTTTGCTCGTAGAATTTATGTATAATAACAAATCTTTGAACATTAATTGTATTTGAAAGCTATTGGTAAATGTTGACATTCTGATACATAGTATGGTGGTTTTCTCTTTTTTAAACTTATATTACGCTCCATTTTTATCCATATCGAAAATAAAATGTGTTAAGATGCATTATAATAAATAAGGTATCAACATTCCAATAAATGTCCATGGACCATAACAAGTATAAAATAAATCCATGGAAATAATTGGCTGTGAGACAGTCAACAATCGTCATACCTTGGCACCCTTACTTACTCTCTCTAGAGAATTTACAGTAAATACATGGCATATACATTGATGAAAGGGTGACACAGTATGCCTCTAGATCGCAAAAGTATAAAGTTGCAAGCATCTTGGGTTGAAAAAAGGCTCAAAAACATTTGAGGAAATTTTACGATCTTAACTTAGTAATACATGAAACAACACTCTTTCATGGATACGAAGATCGTTCTATAAATAAAAAGGCACTAAAATTAATAAGGGGTCTTACTTGTTTTTTCATACAGGTTTTGGTTGGATTAGAATTATGTTAAAGTATTTCAAGATTTTTTGAGTTTTATTATTTAGATTATATTTTACGGCCATACTTACGTTCTTTTCAACCGGAAAAAATCTGGCGGATACGGTTTTTGAAGGTCTTTAAACAGAGGTAAGCCGCGTGTGTAATATATGAAAAATCGAATTAATATTTTTACACCTCTCGTCTTGTATATATTAAATGTTTTAAAATTAAATAAAAGATTTTGTATATGATGATTCAAATTGTCATTAAAAATCTATAATGTAGGTAATTTGATTAAAAGATCCACTGAAACTTAGCCTGTTTAAAAACAAGTAAAACGACCCTAATAAACATAGTTGATCAAATATTCAAACCAACATCATCAAACAAATAACGTAGTTTTATGTAGTGACTAAGTAACAAATTCGACTAGAAGTGACGAATTTCCAACAAAAACTAATATGTCAACAAGCTGGGAAGATTTAGACGCTAAAAGCGACATAGAATATTGTCATGTGGTTGAGTTTGTGCTAATATTAAAAACATGCACAGTGGAAGATTTGTTATCAAGCCGGTCCACAAATACCATGTCCTATATTTTTTTTTATTTAAACTAAACGAAAATCTATAAATTTATCCACGAAAAATGCTTGTCTTTAATATATTTTACAGAAAAAAAATTATTTACAGACAGATAGGTCATATGATAACTCGACTAAAAGAAAATACCGAAGGAAAAAAATAAAGCGTACAAGTATACGCCTTTCTGTCCACACAAGTATACGCCTCTCTGTCCACACAAGTTTATCGCCTCTCTGTCCATACAAGTATACGCCTCTCTGTCCACACAAGCATACGCCTCTCTGTCCACACAAGTATACGCCTCTCTGTCCACACAAGTATACGCCTCTCTGTCCACACAAGTATACGCCTCTCTGTCCATACAAGTATACGCCTCTCTGTCCACACAAGTATACGCCTCTCTGTCCACACAAGTTTATCGCCTCTCTGTCAACACAAGTATACGCCTCTCTGTCCACACAAGTTTATCGCCTCTCTGTCAACACAAGTATACGCCTCTCTGTCCACACATGCATACGCCTCTCTGTCCACACAAGTTTATCGCCTCTCTGTCCATACAAGTATACGCCTCTCTGTCCACACAATCATATGCCTCTCTGTCCACACAAGTTTATCGCCTCTCTGTCCACACAAGTTTATCTCCTCTCTGTCAACACAAGTATACGCCTCTCTGTCCACACAAGTTTATCGCCTCTCTGTCCACACAAGTATACGCCTCTCTGTCCATACAAGTATACGCCTCTCTGTCCACACAAGTTTATCGCCTCTCTGTCCATACAAGTATACGCCTCTCTGTCCACACAAGCATATGCCTCTCTGTCCACACAAGTTTATCGCCTCTCTGTCCACACAAGTTTATCGCCTCTCTGTCAACACAAGTATACGCCTCTCTGTCCACACAAGTTTATCGCCTCTCTGTCCACACAAGTATACGCCTCTCTGTCCATACAAGTATACGCCTCTCTGTCCACACAAGCATATGCCTCTCTGTCCACACAAGTATACGCCTCTCTGTCCACACAAGTATACGCCTCTCTGTCCACACAAGTATACGCCTCTCTGTCCACACAAGTATACGCCTCTCTGTCCACACAAGTATACGCCTCTCTGTCCATACAAGTATACGCCTCTCTGTCCACACAAGCATAAGCCTCTCTGTCCACACAAGTATACGCCTCTCTGTCCACACAAGTATACGCCTCTCTGTCCACACAAGTTTATCGCCTCTCTGTCCATGCAAGTATAAGCCTCTCTGTCCACACCAGTTTGCATATATATATAGTTGTAAACGGTTTTGTAAAAAGATAAGGCTTTATCATTCGCCTATGCTTGCAGAATTGTTAGTAAAAAAAATATATGACAATATAGGTGGATAGATAATTAATCATTATTAATACGAATAGTAGATTTTGGTTGTTTAAAATGTGGTTGGGAGGCAGTTGTACAAGTAGGTTTGTTCATGTTTTCAGAGCTTTTATCCAGTTACTATGTATTCAGTTTTTAATCATTGAAGAATAATTTTAACAAGTTTTGCGAAGTAGAAGAGAAAGCAAGTTCTTAGTTATGTAATGCATTCGTATAGGATTTAACCAACTATTATGAGATAGGACAATCTTACGACTTTGATTTTAAACTAAATAGCACTTTTGAAACTTAATCATACTATAAAGTTCTACTTGCGCAGTTGCAATGGACAATTCTTGATGTGATTTATGTTAAATTAGTGAATGCTGCTCAAGATGAGCTGTCATATGCTTGAAACACGTATAACATGAAATGACTTGTCTAAATTTCACACTTGGCAACTACGTTAGTAGATCTTAATCTTACATCTTTAGCAACAATCTTATTAAAATCCTTAAAACCCCTAATCAATACATATTATAAATATTACATATTATGAGCATGTAGTGTCAAATGTTTCATCTTGTTTTAGCATGATGCCTAAAATATCACACAAGTGTAAAGACAAACAAAACACGGGAATACCCCAAAGTAGTAGTTGTAATAAATGTTATGGTGGCCACCCAGAGTAACCAATTACTAATAATACCTTTTAGTCATAATGATAGCCGGTGTCCATCTACAATGTAAACAAATCTTACACTGTGCATATTCCTCTTCAAAATCTAGTCTACGTGTACCCACGTATAACACTTATAAATCAATACAACTAATATTTATATTATATATAACAATTTCGGTTTGTATACTATTAATTATATCTTTACTATTTGAAACTAGGAGTCCATACAACTAATCCGTGAGCAAGTTATAAAATGGGTGTTAGAAAATCGACGTTAGTCTTTGGAGGTTTTCATGCATTTCCCACGAACTTTGGACGAATGGTTATCCTTCCTTATCCACCTGAAATCAGATCAAACTTAGTAGATATTGTTCTTCGTGAAACATAGTTATGTCTAGGGGAAATACGTTTCACCACACAAATCTAGTTTAATGAAGTTTCCACGTATGGATTTATAGTCCAGAAAACAGCTATTTGCTGCCTGATCAATGGTAATGTTCGGTACTGAGTTTTGCTAGACATCAGCTGATTTGTTTTATTTTAGGTTATTAAACATCTCAGGAATTCCATGTTTCCACGTGGAATTATGTTTCCACCTAAACATAAATAATTATCAACATATCCAAATTAACACTAAAACTTAATCCCAAAGATAAAATCTCAATTGAAGTTTGACTAGTAGTCTTATATTCTAATGGCAGTGGTTGGTTACAAACAAAAACATACCTCTCAAAGACGTTACAAGTTCGGAAGTGATAGTTCTTAACGCTGGGAACATATTTCTGATTTTGACAGTTTTTACTGTAGGGTTAATTTTCTATGGCGAAAAGAATAAAGTTCGTCACTCGTCTAAAATGGGTTTACTCTACTCGTTTGGTAATCCCGCACTCGCCTGGTAAACCATCATTTCCCGCACTAGTAATGTAATGTATTATTACAGCACCGTAAAAGATAATAAGAAGAGTATGAGTAGAAAAAGTAATTACAACAAACATGGAATAGCTCCTGACAAAACATATCCCATTTAGGTATATGAAATTGGAAACACGATAAAATTAAATATTTGCTTACATTGTTAGTTTTAATTTAATGTAGTACCCCCTGATGAATTAAATAACGTAATCTACTGATGAAAAACGATTACGGTAATATTTATATTCCTAAATAGTGTAATTTAAGTACACTTTACATCGTCTAAAGAAAACGAAAATATTCGACAAACTTGTTTGTAATGCATAGCTGGTGAATTTGGTCTCTAATCGCAGGATTGATGTTTAAATCACAATATTCAATAGAAACTAGAGAGAAGTAAATTCATTATTTTTGGAATTGTATATGTATTGGTATTTCGATGTGAGTGGAGAGTGAAGTAGGTATGTAAAAGCTAAGGACTATAATAGTTATTTCACTCAAGTGAAAATCCACCGATTGGGCAAATAAAATAAAATAAAGAAACACTCCACCTCTAAAAGGGCGGGGAGCGAGCTGGCGTAGTGGTTAGAGCGCGGGACTTCAGTCTCTGAGGTCCCGGGTTCGATCCCCGCCAAGTCCCCAATGTATTTTATCTAAGTGATAATGCCGCAACCCCTAGGTCTAGGCCTAGCCTGAAGTAATGTGAAAAACAATCCCAGGCTCGTGCCTAGCGTCCTAGGACAAAAAAACCTCCAAAAGGGTTGATAAAGGCAGTTGTATCCCGGTACTGATAAAAATAGAATCATGATAAAATACACTTCGGTTTTAAAGATATAAAAAACTGTTATTGATATTTTCAACCAAATCTTAATAAAAAAAACAACAGACAAATATCATAAATAACGACTACACACCCGCATTTTCATCGAACTATGTTGCATTTATTTATAACTGTGACAAATAAAACTAAAACTAAAGGGAATTACTGAACGAAATAGGTAAATGTATTGTAATCACTTGCCCCATATAGATTAGAGGCCGGTGGCATAGTGCGGTTTTGCCGTTGTAGATGCAATCTCTGAGAGGCGGACATCGATAGGAGTTCGGTCATCATAGAGAGTAGGAGCTTGGAGGATGATACCCGCCGTTCCTACCATCACGGCTAGCGTGAATATCCAGAGAAACAGACGGTCCAAGACCATGGCCACGTACTTCCAATCCTCCTTCACCTACAAGATGAAAACAAGACGGTTTAGGTGTTTTAGGACATCTTCGCTCCTTAATCGGTTGACGAAGAGGGTTTATAGTAAACAGGTGATTAATACTCAATTCCACGTTCACCGTGCACTACAGGTCTTATAAGCGATTGTTGTATCATCAACATTGCCGGAATATCGTGTTACGCCCATAATCAATTATCAGCTTCCATATTCAATAAGAAACCATCAGGTAATCATAACGCTGACCCTTCAACTCTGCATGTTACATGTATAGCTAGAATTACAAGCCTCATAGAGTAAAAAAGGATATATTTTACAAAAGATGCAGCTCAAAAACGCAAAATAGAACGATACCTGGGGGCACCTCTGGGCTCGATGCGCATAAGAGAAAACATGTCTACCTGGCTTAGGCATAGTGCACAAAAGAGGACCGCCCACGGTAACTATCCTCGTCACTATCTTGAAAGTGCTAAACTACATTTTACTAATATCTAAAACTCAATGCTGTTCAACAAGATAGATTGGAACTTTGACTTCATCATTTAGATTTTGACTTTGGAATAGCTGAAATTAACAAATGAAAAGTGTGAGAAATATTTCAAAAGTATACGAGCGGGTTAATCTTTCTAATGTCTATTCTGACTTTATTTTAATATAACTGAATCTGACATTTTAAATGCAAGACTAACGTTGAAAAAATTTATAGCTTGATTACTTACTACTTCCTTGTATAGCTCTCACAATTTACTTTTCCAACTCCTCATTTATAGTACGAATAAGTATAATATTTTAAGAATAGTAATAGTTGTAGGCCTACAAAATTATAAAAGAAACTGTTACAATTCAACGATTCAAAGACCTTAGTCGAATCTTCCTCTCGCTTTGTATGATCTGCTATGAACTTGACACCATCTATAGCTTTGTGCAGCTCAGGGCAATGGTGCCAATGGGTGAGTCGTCGGCAGAGGGGTGGAAGACCAGGTTCCTCCGAAGGGGGTGGAGGGGGTAGTTCGTCTGGACACAGCATTGCAGGTAGTGGAGGAGTACCATGGATCTTGCAGCCACTACCAAGCCCGCTAGCAGCCAACTCTCTGTGAAATATCCAGTCATACTAAACTTCCTTACAACTCTGATTGTTCCGTAAAACGAATTAAGTTTAGTTACATTACATTTTCTTTGCAAATAAAGAATTTATAGGCATTTATAAATGTAGGACAACGCAGAAGGATTGAAGGCTATCTTAATATGAAGAGACATAATTTGAATAAACCTCCTACAAATGACTATATAAATAATAAACACTTAATTAATTTTAGATAGAGGGACAAATACAAAACTAACGGTATTTTTTTATAATTAAAGGTTTTATCTTAAAATTTACTCATTGAATTTAGACACAGGAGCTCAAAGAAATCGAAGTTTTCATCAGAAACTCCACTCATATAATAAAATTAACGAAGAAAATAAATATATAAAGAAAATCAATCCGATAAGGGGTAAATGTAATATTAGAAAACTCTTTTCGCGTGTCCGATTCACATGTATGAACATGTATATAAAATGTCGCATCACATTGCACAATTTTTATTCTAAGAGTATTAATTCAAATATAGTTTGTCCTAAGCCTATATTTTGCTTTGCATAGTTTATTATTTTGATTGATTATATTTTTAGTTCTACTAATTATTAAGGTAAAATATAAGTTAAATGCCAATGCAAATTATTATTAGAATTCCTTTATTAGACCATTTTGTTTTAAAATTCATTACTAAGTTTGTATTGAAATTGTTGTGCCAATACTGATTGAACTGATGGGTGGATTCAACTGGTACTAAGTATTTTCACTTATTACAACACGAGTCAAAATTAATTAATTTATTGTTTACTGGAGAAGGTTTATCAACCGATTTTAATTAAATTGTGTGTGTGGTGAAAATGAAACTAGTTTTATCTTAATTCTCTTACGTTCAAACGGTGGTTTGTTTTATTTGAGTTAATTTGAAATTATTTTATAATCATGTAGGTTTAAAGCCAACTACAATTGGGTGACAACAGTGCATACATATTCTTTTCATTAGTTGTTATGCGAAAGGGTTACAACAACACTTATCAACTTACAAAAACATCAACACTTACAACAAAATCTAACTGAACATTTTATGTTTTTTATTTAACAACACTCTTCACGTTTTACTCGTGAAGATTTGAGCTTCACTTCTATGATTTAACACAATTGCTTTTATATTACTGTAAGATGTGTTCCTGGGGGTAGTTAGAAACTCAGAATTGCAACTGAAAATTCTTGATGAAATATTTTTTCATGCAAAAATACTTTTCCGTACATGCCTCTCCCACGGTTCAGAGATGTTCATATAGGTTTTAGGACCATTGGGGATTGAGCGGATGGGCTCATGGAACATGTATACTTAAAACAAAATCATGAAACAGGACAAGAATGCCACCAGAGATTTTAGGGCTTAACTTATTACTCAAACCCATACCTCTTACTACAAGAACCAAATAAAAATTAAAATCAGACGCTTACTCTAACATCCTAGCACTGCTATTGTCACTTGTTGCAAAGATAAATACTTTTACAATTTATATTTAGAAAAGCAGTTTCATGGGACTTCGTACCTGGGTGCAAAGTCTTCTAGCCTCTCGAGGGTGGGAAAAGAGTCCCCCTGTGGATCTAGAAGTTCGGAAGCTGGATTCTGAGCGAAGAGACCTGGGTGATCTCTCAGTTCCAACCCGTTGCAAGTACGTACCATGATGCGGTGACATGAGCTCGCCAAACTAAACAACCCAAGAGCAGCAAGATTAGAAATTATTTAAGGTTGGTAATAGTTGGTAAGCTTATGGACTTTTATTGGCACCTTGGGCACATGCCAACATATTGAAATAAAAATGCACCCTGTCTCACTGCACCCAGGGTGCAACATTCACGGTGTCCACCAAAGAATAATTGAACATTAGATCAATTATTTTTGTTTCGTTTACATTGTTCTATTTCATATTGGTGGGATTCAAAGTATATTAATTACTTTCTATGCGGTCATTTACTTATGATGCGGTTGTTGTAATTGGAAACCCTTGAAATAAAATAGTTTCTCTGCTTCAATTATTGAATTTAGTTAGGTTAAGGCTAAAGGTCGATTCACACACATCAGTTCCAGTACGTCAGAGTTCAGTCACATCAGTAACAATAGATTCTTTAATAGATTTTTTGCGCTATCTACACTCATCCGGCGCAGGTCCGTCAGTGACTCTGTCGGCGTCCGTCAGTCAATTTCAGATTTCATTCCACCAATATTTTGGGATTGTTCGGATGCTTGACGGACGTATGATATGTGTTTAACATAAACAATTTGTATTTAAATAATTGTATTTATATTTTAAGAAGTATTTCTAACAAAATATAAGATGGGTGGTAAAATATTGATAGAATATTGAGTTTTAATAAATAATCCTTGACTGTAATATCACCGCCAATAAAGTGACGAAAGACTGACTGAAACCAACTGACGGACAGTTGACTGAGGAATTGTGGATGCAACTGAGATTGGACTGATGCGTGTGAATCATTAACCTCGATTAACAGCTTTTATTTGCACTTTTTTACTAAAGTAAAATGCATTAACAACAAGTAATAGAGCGAAAAGAGTAGTTTAAACCGCAGACAATAGACCACCACCCAGTTTCTCGGCTTACCTACGCTTGTCCATCTGGTAGTGTGGCCTCCTCATGACCAACAGGCGAGGCAGAATATGGATGAACACACGTTTGACCCAAGGAGCCATTGTGTGTGTCTGAGGAGATCTGAAGTGTACATTAAGTACAACCACTGTCACGCAGATGCTAGATCAAATACATACAGATATAGTGCCTCAATCTGCCATAGGCAATAGGCATCACTTCGTGTCCACTTAAGATAAATACAGTACTTGATTTATCTTAATAATAACTTTTCAACACTCACTGTTAAGCCTTTATATATTTTTAAATAGACGTGTACAAATTCAATTTATTTGAAGAAGTCGTAGTTTATGAATATAAATTAAATAATGATGATTTATATATTTCATTTGTTTTATTCATTAATTTTTGTTAGATACCAGGGGAACATAAATTTCCCCACAATTTCACTTAAATATCCTCTAGTTTAACATACGTTTCTCTACAAAATCCAAACAAATCTTTAAAAATATTTTAATGATTTTTTAGGAAATATAAAAAAGTTAGTTAAGTTTTGACAAAATAAAGATCTTAAGTAAATATGTGTTACATGCCTATTAATGACTAATTTCTAAATTTACTTTACATTCTTCCTAAACATAAACTTCTAAGTAATAGTTATACTTAATGAATTTACCACTTTAAATGAATTTTTCCTCTTAATAAAACGTGAGGAAAAATATAATAAATTGTTTTGTACAATGTTTTAAATATGTATCATCTATAAATAACTATTAAAATATATTAAAATTAAAATAAACAAAATACTTAGCTGAAGATTATAATTTTAAAATGTAATTCTGAAAATGTATATAAATTGCAACAAAACAATTTTGATCGACCAAAAGAAATTAAGTCATATGATCCTACAAATTGTTCAATAATTAATAACGAAAAAACAATTGACATTTTTCATACTTTTTCCGAAAGAAACTATAAAAATCCAGAAGAAAATTTTCTGGAAAAAATAAAAAAAAAACAAATTTTCATAATTTGGCAGTTCAAAAATATATTGAGAATATTACAAATAAAACGAAATTATCAAATAATAAACAAATTCCGAAGGAAAGCTTATAAATATACGAAAAGCATCATCGTTCATAGAACCTTTTTAAATAAATGCCAATGTTTATTTAACATTGTCTGATGGTAAGTCTAAATAATAAGGAAAAGATATGATCAGAATTAAATGAAAACCTTGATTTTGACTTAATAATATATACAATAATGATAAATAGATGAGTAATATGTTTGTGAAAATAAAACATAAATACACTACTTTAATGATAAATGGAATAGGAACGATGAACACAGCATAATATAAGTAAATGGGAATTATAATCATGCCTACACTAAAAAAGTAAATAAATGATGAAAATTATCAACAACCTTTTTTTAACTGAATCATTAAAAAATATTCAATTTTTTTTTTTTTTTTTTTTTTTTTTTTTTTTAAGAGGTTGGCGGCCTCTTTTAACCTTGCATTTGCCCGTCCACATAGACTAAGCGCCCGTGCGTGGATCGTATACAGCAAAGCAAGGAGTGAGCCAGTACAGTACAAAGGTGAACTGTACTGATAAAATGTTATAGGCAGTGACCAGGATCCGAACCCACGACATCGCTGCCTTGGGCCCGAAGTCCGCGACGCTACCGACTGAGCCACCGACTCACTAAAATTTACTTTTTACTTTTTTTTTTTTTTTTTTTTTTAATTTACTTTTTAAAGCTTAAAATATATTATATATTTATTACAATATATTTAATTTCTACACAGAACAGGTTTTATATTCCAATAAATGTATAATGTATGTTATAGGGGAGTTTATGAAAATGTAATAAGTTTTCAGGCTTATAATTGCAATACTTTTAAGTTTAAATTTTTGCATGAAATTATCTGCATATTTAAATATTTTATTATAGTTGTAATAAAACTTAAGTAAATTTCTTAGTAAATTTCTATAAAACATACAATTAATTGTATATTATCCTTCATTTTTACTATCTTTGAAATCAATCAAAAATATTTGTAAATATCAATATAAGAAAACAAAAAAAATACCTGCTAAGTTAATGGTGAACAATATATTAAATTAGATATTCAAAATGTTTACTAAACACAGATAGGTGGTTGTTGGTTCAATCAACAACTGATGATGATAGATAAGTTGAATCAACTGATCAAACAGATTTTCCATATATATTTAATAATTTCATAGAAAATGAATTCATTCTATATATCCGGTAAATTTTACTTTTTAAAAGAAAATTCAATTTGCTATCACATCTATATATGGCTTATAAGACTGAAAAAGTTTGATAAAAACCTTAAGAAGCTTAATATTTAACATAATATTTTACAGCTTTATAATAAATAAAAATGTGTGTGATTATCAAAATCCATCGAAATAAATCAAACAAAAAGCGGAACTTATTATTTTAATCTTGTATATGGATATTCTACATCTAAATTCCAATTTTACATATTATCAGGATCACTAAAAACTCTGGTGGATATAATGCTTATGATAATGCTTTAAACAATAAATTGAAAACCAATTTTTGTTTTCAAAATTGAAGTCAGTAACCCTTAATAAACTAAATTGAATATCTTGGAGAGTTGAGTATAAATAAGGAGACAATGACGTATTTTAAAACAGACGCGATAAGTACATCTTGCAATGGATTTGACCCAGATTTTGAAACTAATCTTTAACTGCTTGGTCATTTTATATATTTTATTAGGACGTTTTGAAGATCTTCATACATAAATAAGGGCGCATTATAACGTCCATTTTAATAAATAATAATAATGTGATAAATTTAAAATAAAAAAGAAAATCATAAAGGTTTAATCTACTACATTACTAATGGAATAACAAATTATGAATATTTTGTTGTGATTCCACCCATCAAAATAAAGCCACTAACAAAATACAATTACTAAATTTTATACAATTAGATTGATAAAAAAAACATTTTGTTATCTTTTTCAGTGTGTTGAAAAAAGATCAATATAAGGATTAACATGTATATTTGATATCACTCATATTAAGAAACATAGACAATCAAAAGGTAATAATTGTTAGTACAAAAATCAAATTATTAGTTGTATTATGTTTTAAAATTGTATACTGTAGTACGGCATGTATATCAAAATATTAGGGTTAAATTTAATGGTCATTGCTATCCTGATCAATTAAAAAGACTTGGATATAGATAAATAAACATTCAAAATTACGCTTGTAAAATATATATATCAGTGAAATTGAAACGTACTATAATGCTACACAAACATTAGAAAATACTCTGTTGTTTTTTTATTAATACAATAAAGATCCACTTAATCTATTTTTTTTTATCAAATAACGATCAGATCGTATTCATCCATATATATATTTTATGTAAATATACAAACTTATATGAATTTCAGTTATGATATTACTTCTTGAAAATGTCATTGTTGTGTCTGAAGAAATACTTCATCACTAAGCCATAAAATTGATAATTATTTAACTATTCGTCTCGTCTTAATATACTAGAAATATAACGTCTTAATTTGTTAAAATATTTTGATTAATCGTCAAAACAATACGTTACGAGTTAAAAATAAAATAAGACATAATATTTTATGAAAAAAAAACAGTTTTAAGTTAATGTCAGTTTAATAAATAACAAGAAAGTTATCATAAATTAAAGTATTGTAATTTATGATTTTAAAAGTTTTTAAATATGCTTAAATTGAAGTGATTGCAGTTTAAAGTGATGGCAACAGAGCAATCATATCATTATAGAACATAGTATATGTAAATAGTTTCATTCTTACTCATAACTTGTTACTGACAGTGACAAATCAATAACCTATTAAAACGAGATGATGGTTTAGATTCCAAGATTGAGTACATTATAGCAATGAACTGACAGGATAAACGGCCTTTAAGCTTATTAAAATTGAACGGCAATCAATGTGCCTATACTTACCTAAAGGTATCGAGGATCATTGTGAAAAGTACGAACTTGCCTAAAAGCGGCACCACCAATGATGTAGGAGGAATAATTTCTGCCAGAAGCAGGAAAAACACAGTGAGCGACAGTAGAATGGAAATGGATAAACTAACCTGAAAAAAATGTATTAATTACTTGGCCCCCTTCTAATAAGATTCAAAAAGCGGATTAACTAACATCTGATTACGTAATAATATTTACATATTAAATGTTCACCTGTCACATGTAGAGTTTATTAATGCAAGTATTCTCAAATGAAAATCACTTGGCGTTCCCTTTAAAATAAATACTGTGAGTAAAAAGATCCCTCAACAGTTTTCTGATTTTTCAAACAAAGTTTATGATAAAAATTTAATTGATAAAAATAAAAAAGTAGCGAATAATAAAGTAATAAAAAAATTCTTTAAAATAATTAACTGATACAATAAATAATAATAAGTAGACTAATCAAATAACAAAGTTATAAAACAACAAGTACTACTGTCTCAATAATAATCATACAAATAGTCATATTCCCTTAAATTATCAAGTAAACGTTTTCTTCAGAAGTCGAATGAGGTGGGATGGAATACTGTGGCGACACGGGACATATGAGGGATCCTCAAACAAGGCAACGATACGATTAAATGTCGTGTAAGGTTAGTACATAGGTCTCCGTATAGAGATCCCCGCAAGGTTAGTACATAAGTCTCTGTATAAAGATCTCCGCAAGGTTAGTACATAGGTCTCCGTATAGAGATCCCCGCAAGGTTAGTACATAAGTCTCCGTATAAAGATCCCCGCAAGGTTAGTACATAAGTCTCTGTATACAGATCTCCGCAAGGTTAGTACATAGGCCTCTGTAAAGAGATCCCCGCAAGGTTAGTACATAAGTCTCTGTATAGAGATCCCCGCAAGGTTAGTACATAAGTCTCTGTATACAGATCTCCGCAAGGTTAGTACATAGGTCTCTGTATAGAGATCCCCGCAAGGTTAGTACATAGGTCTCTGTATAGAGATCCCCGCAAGGTTAGTACATAGGTCTCTGTATAGAGATCCCCGCAAGGTTAGTACATAGGCCTCTGTAAAGAGATCCCCGCAAGGTTAGTACATAAGTCTCTGTATACAGATCCCCGCAAGGTTAGTACATAGGTCTCTGTATAGAGATCCCCGCAAGGTTAGTACATAGGTCTCTGTATAGAGATCTCCGCAAGGTTAGTACATAGGTCTCTGTATAGAGATCCCCGCAAGGTTAGTATATAAGTCTCTGTATAAAGATCTCCGCAAGGTTAGTACATAGGTCTCTGTAAAGAGATCCCCGCAAGGTTAGTACATAAGTCTCTGTATAAAGATCTCCGCAAGGTTAGTACATAGGTCTCTGTATAGAGATCCCCGCAAGGTTAGTACATAGGTCTCTGTATAGAGATCCCCGCAAGGTTAGTACATAAGTCTCTGTATACAGATCCCCGCAAGGTTAGTACATAGGTCTCTGTATAGAGATCCCCGCAAGGTTAGTACATAGGTCTCTGTATAGAGATCTCCGCAAGGTTAGTACATAGGTCTCTGTATAGAGATCCCCGCAAGGTTAGTACATAGGTCTCTGTATAGAGATCCCCGCAAGGTTAGTACATAGGTCTCTGTATAGAGATCCCCGCAAGGTTAGTACATAGGTCTCCGTATACAGATCTCCGCAAGGTTAGTACATAGGTCTCTGTATACAGATCCCCGCAAGGTTAGTACATAGGTCTCTGTATAGAGATCCCCGCAAGGTTAGTACATAGGTCTCTGTATAGAGATCCCCGCAAGGTTAGTACATAGGTCTCTGTATAGAGATCTCCGCAAGGTTAGTACATAGGTCTCTGTATAGAGATCCCCGCAAGGTTAGTACATAGGTCTCCGTATACAGATCTCCGCAAGGTTAGTACATAGGTCTCTGTATAGAGATCCCCGCAAGGTTAGTACATAGGTCTCCGTATAGAGATCCCCGCAAGGTTAGTACATAAGTCTCCGTATAGAGATCCCCGCAAGGTTAGTACATAAGTCTCTGTATACAGATCTCCGCAAGGTTAGTACATAGGCCTCTGTAAAGAGATCCCCGCAAGGTTAGTACATAGGTCTCTGTATAGAGATCCCAGCAAGGTTAGTACATAAGTCTCTGTATACAGATCTCCGCAAGGTTAGTACATAGGTCTCTGTATAGAGATCCCCGCAAGGTTAGTACATAGGTCTCTGTATAGAGATCCCCGCAAGGTTAGTACATAGGTCTCAGTATACAGATCTCCGCAAGGTTAGTACATAGGTCTCTGTATAGAGATCCCCGCAAGGTTAGTACATAGGTCTCCGTATACAGATCTCCGCAAGGTTAGTACATAGGTCTCTGTAAAGAGATCCCCGCAAGGTTAGTACATAAGTCTCTGTATACAGATCTCCGCAAGGTTAGTACATAGGTCTCTGTATAGAGATCCCCGCAAGGTTAGTACATAGGTCTCTGTATAAAGATCTCCGCAAGGTTAGTACATAGGTCTCTGTATAGAGATCCCCGCAAGGTTAGTACATAAGTCTCTGTATAAAGATCTCCGCAAGGTTAGTACATAGGTCTCTGTATAGAGATCCCCGCAAGGTTAGTACATAAGTCTCTGTATAAAGATCTCCGCAAGGTTAGTACATAGGTCTCTGTAAAGAGATCCCCGCAAGGTTAGTACATAAGTCTCTGTATACAGATCTCCGCAAGGTTAGTACATAGGTCTCTGTATAGAGATCCCCGCAAGGTTAGTACATAGGTCTCCGTATACAGATCTCCGCAAGGTTAGTACATAGGTCTCTGTAAAGAGATCCCCGCAAGGTTAGTACATAAGTCTCTGTATACAGATCTCCGCAAGGTTAGTACATAGGCCTCTGTATAGAGATCCCCGCAAGGTTAGTACATAAGTCTCTGTATAAAGATCTCTACAAGGTTAGTACATAGGTCTCTGTATAGAGATCCCCGCAAGGTTAGTACATAAGTCTCTGTATAAAGATCTCCGCAAGGTTAGTACATAGGTCTCTGTAAAGAGATCCCCGCAAGGTTAGTACATAAGTCTCTGTATACAGATCTCCGCAAGGTTAGTACATAGGTCTCTGTATAGAGATCCCCGCAAGGTTAGTACATAGGTCTCCGTATACAGATCTCCGCAAGGTTAGTACATAGGTCTCTGTAAAGAGATCCCCGCAAGGTTAGTACATAAGTCTCTGTATACAGATCTCCGCAAGGTTAGTACATAGGTCTCTGTATAGAGATCCCCGCAAGGTTAGTACATAAGTCTCCGTATAGAGATCCCCGCAAGGTTAGTACATAAGTCTCTGTATACAGATCTCCGCAAGGTTAGTACATAGGTCTCTGTAAAGAGATCCCCGCAAGGTTAGTACATAAGTCTCTGTATACAGATCCCCGCAAGGTTAGTACATAGGTCTCTGTATAGAGATCCCCGCAAGGTTAGTACATAAGTCTCCGTATAGAGATCCCCGCAAGGTTAGTACATAAGTCTCTGTATAAAGATCTCCGCAAGGTTAGTACATAGGCCTCTGTAAAGAGATCCCCGCAAGGTTAGTACATAAGTCTCTGTATAAAGATCTCCGCAAGGTTAGTACATAGGCCTCTGTAAAGAGATCCCCGCAAGGTTAGTACATAAGTCTCTGTATACAGATCTCCGCAAGGTTAGTACATAGGCCTCTGTAAAGAGATCCCCGCAAGGTTAGTACATAAGTCTCTGTATACAGATCTCCTCAAGGTTAGTACATAAGTCTCTGTATAGAGATCCCCGCAAGGTTAGTACATAGGTCTCTGTATAGAGATCCCCGCAAGGTTAGTACATAAGTCTCCGTATAGAGATCCCCGCAAGGTTAGTACATAAGTCTCTGTATAAAGATCTCCGCAAGGTTAGTACATAGGCCTCTGTAAAGAGATCCCCGCAAGGTTAGTACATAAGTCTCTGTATAAAGATCTCCGCAAGGTTAGTACATAGGCCTCTGTAAAGAGATCCCCGCAAGGTTAGTACATAAGTCTCTGTATACAGATCCCCGCAAGGTTAGTACATAAGTCTCTGTATAGAGATCCCCGCAAGGTTAGTACATAAGTCTCTGTAAAGAGATCCCCGCAAGGTTAGTACATAAGTCTCTGTATACAGATCCCCGCAAGGTTAGTACATAGGTCTCTGTAAAGAGATCCCCGCAAGGTTAGTACATAGGTCTCTGTATAGAGATCCCCGCAAGGTTAGTACATAGGTCTCTGTATACAGATCCCCGCAAGGTTAGTACATAGGTCTCTGTAAAGAGATCCCCGCAAGGTTAGTACATAGGTCTCTGTATAGAGATCCCCGCAAGGTTAGTACATAGGTCTCTGTATACAGATCCCCGCAAGGTTAGTACATAGGTCTCTGTACAAAGATCCCCGCAAGGTTAGTACATAAGTCTCCGTATAGAGATCCCCGCAAGGTTAGTACATAAGTCTCTGTATACAGATCCCCGCAAGGTTAGTACATAGGTCTCTGTAAAGAGATCCCCGCAAGGTTAGTACATAGGTCTCTGTATAAAGATCCCCGCAAGGTTAGTACATAAGTCTCCGTATAGAGATCCCCGCAAGGTTAGTACATAAGTCTCTGTATACAGATCCCCGCAAGGTTAGTACATAAGTCTCCGTATAGAGATCCCCGCAAGGTTAGTACATAAGTCTCTGTATACAGATCTCCGCAAGGTTAGTACATAGGTCTCTGTATAGAGATCCCCGCAAGGTTAGTACATAGGTCTCCGTATACAGATCTCCGCAAGGTTAGTACATAGGTCTCTGTAAAGAGATCCCCGCAAGGTTAGTACATAGGTCTCTGTATAAAGATCTCCGCAAGGTTAGTACATAGGTCTCTGTAAAGAGATCCCCGCAAGGTTAGTACATAAGTCTCTGTATACAGATCTCCGCAAGGTTAGTACATAGGTCTCTGTATAGAGATCCCCGCAAGGTTAGTACATAGGTCTCCGTATACAGATCTCCGCAAGGTTAGTACATAGGTCTCTGTAAAGAGATCCCCGCAAGGTTAGTACATAAGTCTCTGTATACAGATCCCCGCAAGGTTAGTACATAGGTCTCTGTATAGAGATCCCCGCAAGGTTAGTACATAAGTCTCCGTATAGAGATCCCCGCAAGGTTAGTACATAAGTCTCTGTATACAGATCTCCGCAAGGTTAGTACATAGGTCTCTGTAAAGAGATCCCCGCAAGGTTAGTACATAAGTCTCTGTATACAGATCCCCGCAAGGTTAGTACATAGGTCTCTGTATAGAGATCCCCGCAAGGTTAGTACATAAGTCTCCGTATAGAGATCCCCGCAAGGTTAGTACATAAGTCTCTGTATAAAGATCTCCGCAAGGTTAGTACATAGGCCTCTGTAAAGAGATCCCCGCAAGGTTAGTACATAAGTCTCTGTATAAAGATCTCCGCAAGGTTAGTACATAGGCCTCTGTAAAGAGATCCCCGCAAGGTTAGTACATAAGTCTCTGTATACAGATCTCCGCAAGGTTAGTACATAGGCCTCTGTAAAGAGATCCCCGCAAGGTTAGTACATAAGTCTCTGTATACAGATCTCCGCAAGGTTAGTACATAAGTCTCTGTATAGAGATCCCCGCAAGGTTAGTACATAGGTCTCTGTATAGAGATCCCCGCAAGGTTAGTACATAAGTCTCCGTATAGAGATCCCCGCAAGGTTAGTACATAAGTCTCTGTATAAAGATCTCCGCAAGGTTAGTACATAGGCCTCTGTAAAGAGATCCCCGCAAGGTTAGTACATAAGTCTCTGTATAAAGATCTCCGCAAGGTTAGTACATAGGCCTCTGTAAAGAGATCCCCGCAAGGTTAGTACATAAGTCTCTGTATACAGATCCCCGCAAGGTTAGTACATAGGTCTCTGTATAGAGATCCCCGCAAGGTTAGTACATAAGTCTCTGTAAAGAGATCCCCGCAAGGTTAGTACATAAGTCTCTGTATACAGATCCCCGCAAGGTTAGTACATAGGTCTCTGTAAAGAGATCCCCGCAAGGTTAGTACATAGGTCTCTGTATACAGATCCCCGCAAGGTTAGTACATAGGTCTCTGTATACAGATCCCCGCAAGGTTAGTACATAGGTCTCCGTAAAGAGATCCCCGCAAGGTTAGTACATAGGTCTCTGTATAGAGATCCCCGCAAGGTTAGTACATAGGTCTCTGTATACAGATCCCCGCAAGGTTAGTACATAGGTCTCTGTACAAAGATCCCCGCAAGGTTAGTACATAAGTCTCCGTATAGAGATCCCCGCAAGGTTAGTACATAAGTCTCTGTATACAGATCCCCGCAAGGTTAGTACATAGGTCTCTGTAAAGAGATCCCCGCAAGGTTAGTACATAGGTCTCTGTATAAAGATCCCCGCAAGGTTAGTACATAAGTCTCCGTATAGAGATCCCCGCAAGGTTAGTACATAAGTCTCTGTATACAGATCCCCGCAAGGTTAGTACATAAGTCTCCGTATAGAGATCCCCGCAAGGTTAGTACATAAGTCTCTGTATACAGATCCCCGCAAGGTTAGTACATAGGTCTCTGTAAAGAGATCCCCGCAAGGTTAGTACATAGGTCTCTGTATAGAGATCCCCGCAAGGTTAGTACATAGGTCTCTGTATACAGATCCCCGCAAGGTTAGTACATAGGTCTCTGTATAAAGATCTCCGCAAGGTTAGTACATAGGTCTCTGTAAAGAGATCCCCGCAAGGTTAGTACATAAGTCTCTGTATACAGATCCCCGCAAGGTTAGTACATAGGTCTCTGTATAGAGATCCCCGCAAGGTTAGTACATAGGTCTCTGTATAGAGATCCCCGCAAGGTTAGTACATAGGTCTCTGTATAAAGATCTCCGCAAGTTTAGTACATAGGTCTCTGTATACAGATCCCCGCAAGGTTAGTACATAGGTCTCTGTATAAAGATCTCCGCAAGGTTAGTACATAAGTCTCCGTATAGAGATCCCCGCAAGGTTAGTACATAGGTCTCCGTATAGAGATCCCCGCAAGGTTAGTACATAAGTCTCCGTATAGAGATCCCCGCAAGGTTAGTACATAAGTCTCTGTATACAGATCCCCGCAAGGTTAGTACATAGGTCTCTGTAAAGAGATCCCCGCAAGGTTAGTACATAGGTCTCTGTATAAAGATCCCCGCAAGGTTAGTACATAAGTCTCCGTATAGAGATCCCCGCAAGGTTAGTACATAAGTCTCTGTATACAGATCCCCGCAAGGTTAGTACATAAGTCTCCGTATAGAGATCCCCGCAAGGTTAGTACATAGGTCTCTGTATAGAGATCCCCGCAAGGTTAGTACATAGGTCTCTGTATAAAGATCTCCGCAAGGTTAGTACATAGGTCTCTGTATAGAGATCAACTATACAATACAACCATGTACATGACACTTGAGAACAAGATCAAATTAATTTGCCTTACAAAAAAAAATCAATACATATAGTCTTTTTAATGTATACAATTAGTTTGTTTACCGTACACCAATTAGCTATTTTTTTTAATCTTCCTGCAAATATTTTTGCAGAACACAAACGGCAATTATTTCTTATAGTACATAATAGATGCGATCATTTTTTAAAGATTTTTCATAGTTACTGACCAGCCAATGAATTTAAATAAATGTGGTAACGCCCCTACTTACAAATTAGTTAATGAACTACAGTTTAAAATTATAAAAATTATCATTTACTTTATAGCTTAAGAACAGTAAATTAATAACTTAAAGGGTAATACACGTTTATTTAATTCATTTAGTAATAAAAATATATAATTATCTCAGTAAAAAGAAAGTATGCCTTCTAATGTCTTAGGGAACACAGATTTTAGAAGTGAACAATCGCGTTCTCTTTAAAATATCCTTTTTCCTTGTAGTTAAGATTAATGTCATTATTTAACTACTTTCTGGCTATCGAGCAATTGATAAATACATGTATATCAATTAATGTGTGGTACACAAATAATTTCATTACAGTTACTTTTCTTGGATTTATGAAATAAACCCCTATTTTTCTAATCATATCGTATGATTACAGTTACTCGCATACCTCAAATCATACAAAACCATTCAGAATATATTCATTAACGCCAGCCAACTTCCATGCGTAAAAAATGTTATACATTTTCAGAAATAAAGACAATTTACTCTATTTGTGTGAGTGTATTTGTGTCGGGCGTTGGTTCCAAGTATGTATCCTACTGATTGTGTTTGCTTTATCCTTGTTCCACGCTTGAGGTTGACATTGTACCTTGAAACTAAATACAGTAATACACATAAAACCATATTTTTCTCAATCTGGGTTATGTATATCTTACTTCTCTGTGATGCTATTAGTGTGGGAACGTAAAATATATTATATAAGCAACGAGTTGTGTGTAATCCAAACGTTTAAATACTAAAATGTTAAAATAAAATCTGCTATCCTTCCTAACTTTTTATAATGATAAAACTTTTATCAGAAGGTCATAACGTGGACTTGAATTATTTTGCATAATCCAGTTTTGATGTTATTAAATTAAAATACTAAAGCGTCCTCTATAATGAATGCAGTATTTACAATTGTTGTCAGAGAATTATATCGATAGTTATTAGCGAATTTCCCATATGGGGAATAAGCTACCATTTTGAAGAGCTAAAAAAAACAAATAATTGAGAAACTACAATCGAAATCGATCACCACTTACCATCTTTTATGTATATTTACCGTCTTGTGAGTAACAGAAGCGTAAATATATGCTTTAAGTATATTTACACAGACGTGTGTGTGTATCAATGAACCTATGGTAACCATGATAACCGCAGCATGGCTGACAGCCTATATTTTTTATTTTTGTCTGTCGTCTTTGGCATACTATGATCCCTACGGTAAGAATTGATTTACTTTATGCAAAATTCACAAACATATATTTTTATGTTTCGGTTAACAGCCATTATTTGGCAGTCCTTAATTAGTGTCTGAACCTAGTGAAGCTTCAACAAAGGGGTTATTTTACAACAGACAATGATTCTAGCGCACCTCTCAACTGCTGTTGGCAGGTAATGATGTATATATTACTGAGGATTTATATAAAGCTTAAAATGTCTTAAATACGAGTAACATGGCATTTGTTTTATTAGAAAGGAATAATTTTACTTTTTTAACAAGCTATTCCTTTATTATAACCTATAAAAAGTAATTTTTGAAAAGAAATATGGTTTTACGTTTTCTACCAGCTATCTACTTTTATAACCTTTTTAAAACTTGAGTTTGTTTTGTTAAATAGTTAGCGAGCTAAAATTTCAAAATTAATAACAATAATCATACAAGGTACCGTAAGTAATTTTAAGACTTTGGAAATAGGTTTTATGGGTCAAAATAAAAAATATTGCTAAGGATGACTTGTCCACCAGTAGGACTTTGGGGGACGGAGGAGCGCTCCCACAACTACCGGCTCTGGCAGGACACCTGGATCAGGCAACTTATTCAGCAAGTCCAGCCATGGTTTAATGGTTGGATGGGAATGTGGGATATTCCTTGGGTAGAATAAAGGTCACGGATATTTTCCCCGCAAGTTACCTGTTCAGAATAGACAAGACAAGTGTGGGACGTATGGATGAAGACAATGTTGGTGGACATGGTCATCCAAATTTTGTCACAGATCGTTTGGGTATTCTCTGTGCCAAGAAGCCATGACCGGGATGCGGTCTAGGCTATTAATGGATGGAATGTCCTTAACAGAGCAAGCCCTAAAGCTCTAGGTCCCATGTAGACCTTACTTGAAATGTGACAGTCAAACAATTCTAGGACTTTATCCAAAGGAGTAGAAGGGTCTGTAGTGAGTATCCTGACAAATAAACGTTGTTTTACTTAACCACCAATCGGTGAAGCTATTTTTTATTACCTTTTCTCCACTATCTGAAGGCAAGTAGAACACAAGTACTGTGAGAAAAGAAATGCCCATACAGGGAATTATCAAGTTGACTGTGTAGAAAAGTGTCTTTCGTCGCATGGTGATGTTGAACGTAATGTCCAGGTAAGGTTCGTCACAACACGTGTAGAACTTTTCATGCCTGTAAGAAATCACATATATTTGTAAGATTTTAAATAAGTAGATTTTAATTAGATACATACCACACATAGGGTAGAGGAGAGCATGCACTTTAATGTTGCCATTACCTATATACACTAAGGTTTAAATTTTGTAGGTGGACGGTTTTAACGTATCAATATTTAAATTTAGTTTCGGCTAAATTACAACAAGACATATACACTGAACAACTCTCATACAATTATTTTGACAGTTACTAACAAATGTACACAATGTCAAACACAATTTTATTTAAAAATATTTATTTTAAAGTGTCTAGTAACTTGATGAAACGGATTATGAAAATGTCAAACAAAACTGTGCAGTAAACATTTTACCCATTTTCTCTATTTAAGCAGATTATATTATAAGGGCATATTATAAGTCCCTATTATATGAATCTGAATAAGTGATTAAGTTCATATGACAACAAATCAAAGTACACCAGAAAAATACATAAGTGCCCTATAAACATAACTCGCTTCATGGTAAAATTCAGGAGTGGTTCTGAGATTAGGCCACCTTTTGAATCCATGAAATGCTGTAACTTTTGTTAGTTGATTTAACATCTCTCGTCTAATCAGTATGTAGATTTGTACAATACAAAAACCACTGATCCTGGAGTAATTCTAAAGCTTATTTTTTATAGTCTTAACATACCAAAATTCGAAATATAATCAAAATAAATAAATTCAACATTTTCATTCAAACATTAGCACATTAGTTTACATCCGATTTGTCGATAACATTATTTTATTTAAGTTAAATTTTTGTTCGTTGCCTTGTGTTTTTGAAATCCATATCCATTCACTAACGCCCATTTTACAATGTTTAACAAATATCATTCTAGAGCCACAGCTGGGTCCAGCGTGGTCCAACACAGTGTAGCTAAGATACAAAACGCTACCTATAACATTTAACTGAATCCGGACCTGACAACCTGCTAAAAAAACTATTCATGACATAGAAACCAAGCATCTGGCAACCCTGTAAAAACTGGATCTTTAAAGGTACAAAAGGGAAACCAACCCCTCGGTGCATCCACACCCCTGACTGTCTCCGTGATGCAACCTCCCGTGACCTGTGGCGAAATACACATTAGTACTTAGATATGGACTTCAACAACACAAGAGAACCAACAAAAAACTAACTGAATTATAATGTCCAACAAATACGTTAAAAGTAGGTTCGTGTAAGGTGAGTCTATGGCCCAATCACAAAACTCTTAGGGCCAAACAATACATCGTTAGGTTTAAGGATTTATTTACACCTTGCGTAGCCTTATCTAACAAATTAAACGCTAAAGCTTAGTGTAAGACATTTAAACGATTAATTAAATCAAGTAAATTAAAATTAAAAACATTAAATTAAAAACCAAACACTAACTTTTAAAGATATAAATAACAAGAGTAACATGTAACTGATAACAGTATGAGTCGAATGCATTTGTTAGGATACAAAATCTGTTAAAGAGCTTTTATAATGACTAATACACACTGACCTGACAGCTGGAACCTCAAGGATGTCCCATTCAACGGAAGTATAGAACTCTGACAAATCTACGCCAATCTCGACAATGTTGGAATCTTTAACTTCATCCACGTGCCTCAGGTCCACCTGGTGCAAAATAGCATGAATAAATATTACTTCATTAAGAAATATTAACACTTGTAATGACTCCAGAGCAAGAGGCATATTTCCAAATCTTAACACATTGTCACATTTGCGAAAAGCCACTGGGAGATAGGGTGCGAGAGCATTGTCGTTTTTAACAGGCCGATCTCGTGGAGCTGCCCACAATGATTGTGCTTTAAACTACTATATAAAGTAACAAAGAAAATTCCAATATTCTTCCATAGCTTAAAACAGCATGATGGACATTTAAAAATGCAACACTTAGGAAAGTTAAATCGTAAATTAAATTGCATAGCCAAAGATATAAAAAAGTACATTTCATTCTCAGTTGACAATTTAGTATTTTTAGATTCCTACAATTTTCTGTCCCTTCCATTATACAAATTAGCTTCCAATTTAAATACATTTAGATCTATAGAAACTACAATACTACAACGCAAAGGCGTATTTCCCTATGTATCCATGACGGGGCCAGATAAGTTTTCAGAGTCTCTCTCTCCAATAGAAGCATTTTATAGCAATCTAACTAAAGAACATCCCGACCAATGAATATGAACATTTACAAATAATTACAAATGACTAGCGTGTAGCCGATACTTTGGCCGACTCACCTGGAACCCATCGTACGTCCATGAGCCAAACTTCATGACGCAACCGATACTTTGGCCAACTCACCTGGAACCCATCGTACGTCCATTACCCAAACTTCATGACGCAACCACTACTTTGGCCAACTCACCTGGAAACCATCGTACGTCCATAAGCCAAACTTCATGACGCAACCGATACGTTGGCCAACTCACCTGGAACCCATCGTACGTCCATTACCCAAACTTCATGACGCAACCGATACTTTGGCCAACTCACCTGGAACCCATCGTACGTCCATGAGCCAAACTTCATGACGCAACCGGTAATTTGGCCAACTCACCTGGAACCCATCGTACGTCCATGAGCCAAACTTAATGACGCAACCATTACTTTGGCCAACTCACCTGGAACCCATCATACGTCCATAAGCCAAACTTCATGACGCAACCGATACTTTGGCCAACTCACCTGGAACCCATCGTACGTCCATGAGCCAAACTTCATGACGCAACCGGTAATTTGGCCAACTCACCTGGAACCCATCGTACGTCCATGAGCCAAACTTAATGACGCAACCATTACTTTGGCCAACTCACCTGGAACCCATCGTACGTCCATGAGCCAAACTTAATGACGCAACCATTACTTTGGCCAACTCACCTGGAACCCATCATACGTCCATAAGCCAAACTTCATGACGCAACCGATACTTTGGCCAACTCACCTGGAACCCATCATACGTCCATGAGCCAAACTTCATGACGAAACCGATACTTTGGCCAACTCACCTGGAACCCATCGTACGTCCATGAGCCAAACTTCATGACGCAAGTTTGCTCGTCGAAAGGGAAGTACTCCACGTCAATTTCACAAGATGATTTGTAAATGGCGGGAGGTTTCCATTCGACCCGTCCTGTATAGTTTAGCGTGGCCTTTGTAGCTAGGGTTACCTCAAAGTTGCCATCCGCACTAAAATAAAATATCGTTTAATTTATAACATGCTAACCATTCGCAGCCCTAATTTAACTATTATTTATTTTGTTCTTACTTGATTTTCTTTTGTTTTATAGACAGGTCTTATAATCATAAATTCCCAATTTCAATAATCATTTCTAATGGATAGAGCTGTGGTATAGTTGATGCTAAACAAAGAAGTCATCAATTTGAAGCTGCGGTTTTAGTAAAATAAGAGTTTTTATGCTTTACAAGCAAGCAAGTCAAATATAGGTATTACGTTTATATGAACCCAATTGTAATATTTTTTACAACATAAAGATTAAAGATAGATTTAAAACCAAAACTCTTCATCAAACAAATAGTTTATTCAACTAAATGATTAAAAATTTTCTTTTTCATTAGTCCTGTCATCCAAAACTAAGTTTAATAACTGACCCAGCAAACTGTATATGTTTCTAGTTTCCCATTCATTTAATGAAAAGTATTTTTTATGACACAACGTAAGTATCAAAGATTCAGTTTCAAAATTACTTAAAATGTATAATTACAATACTTGTTTCATACTTATATAATAACATAATTATATGAATTTAACTATACTTTTACTGTATAAAAAATATTATATAAATTCTTTAAGAATATAAATATACAATGTTTTTCCCATAAATTATAGAGAACAAATTAATGTAAACACTATGCTTTATTAGTTGGTTAACTGCAACCTTTTGTGGCCAAATACAGGAATGATTTGTGATACAGAACGACTAGGGGCAAAGCGACTTGCCTTATCGCCAGAAGACTTCATCAGAAAGTGTTTATGTAAGAGACACAATGACATGTGATATAGCATTAGACTCTTTTTGTGATCGTCTTTTTGTATTTGGTCATTGACGTTTTGTAAAATTATACCAGGCCTTAAGTTGCATTAGGATTTCAGTTCCATATCAAACAACAGTTTGGTAAAACAGTACATTGTAGGGGAAATAAGTAATTCACAGGGTTATATGCTATTTGCATCAATATTTCCTGTTGGCGTAAATGTGCCGATTAAATTATCTATGCAACAATAACTAAATTTGTTGTATCACTAATACATTTAATTTCCTAAATTTGTAACGTTCAATTGGTAGCGAATCGCTAAAATTAAATTACTGAGAGATTGTATAAAATGGGTTTTTTTTGTATTGGATAGCGTTATCTAGGTTTGTAATACAAACTCAAAAAAATTAATTATTTGGAGCGTATAAGACTATTGTAGATTCTGACTTAGTTCCGTTGGTAAATAGGTATGCGGGTTTTAGCTCTTTGCCTGATGTAGGGTTAAATATCTCAAAATGAATGAATAATTTTAGAAGAAAGATACAGATTCATAAAAAAATTAAGTAAAACTTTCGTCTAAAATAACCATAAGGTACAATTTATAGGTCTATATCATAGCATAACAAATTTCTATTTGGTAAATGCAAAAAATGCCCTTCTTAAAAGAAAAATTATTAACTCGGGTATTTAAAATTTACCCTGGATTTATTTAGACTGTTTACCAGTTTCTTTTGACCTTGTATATGCCTGTCCACATAGGCTTCGGTCCTGTGCCTAGAATATATTGAGACTGAACAGTACAAGCTGCAGCGTATGAAAGAATAAATGTCACTGCAGTATGTACGCAGGCCGTCCCACTACTAAATCAGCAATTAAATAGGAATTTGAATATTAATATATATAAAATATTTACGTTAGCACTAACTTATTATAAAGGACGATGTCAGGTCTCCAAATGTGATCTGAAGGAACATGAAGCATCTCTACACCACCATATTCTCTAGGGTCCCACTGTAGTTTGTAGTCATACCATGACTGTCAGGACAAGAAACACAACATATCAACTGTTACGTTATCTTATAATCTAACAGAGAACCAAAAATATTCTCTAGGGCCCCGTAGCTTGTAGTTATACTACGACTGTAAAAATCAGGAACACTTACTAAAATAAATATAAAAAAGTGAAATCACCAGCTGTGACTTTATTCTTAACATCTACTTCCTACGACCTTATTGCAAAAATGTGTTTCAAGCTGAAGTGATTCTATATTACTATTATATGGCAGTAAAATATTTAAGTGGCGTTTATACAAAATAGTCTTAGTAATAATTGGTTTTCTTACTTATCATTCAGGTAGCAATGTATATAAGAAGCAGTTTCTCCTAAAATACTTGCAACATCGCAATATACATTATAAAAAAAGCCTAAATAAATAACTTTCATAGTATTAAATGTCCTCAAATTGTTTGCAATTTACTTCCTCTTCGTTACATAGTTATTATTGGATATTTTAATAGTAATCTTCTTGGGGATAGAATATTTGCTGAGAAAACCCAATTGTTGATTTAAGTTAATAGTTTAAATCGATGGATTGAATTTCATTATCTTACAATATTCTTGTAATTCTGGTTAAACCACATGAGGTAAATTATGTAAGGTAATGAAATACTACATATCAATCAATATAAATCAATGGTAGTACAGTTAATCATGATATCTTTTTTTTTACCTTTCAAAGCTAATTTTTGTTTGCAAATGCTGATACACCATTAGATCTTATCATCTGTAATCAGTCTGATCAGGCTGACTATATTCATAATAAATTTATCGATGTTTATATAATTTTAAAAATCTGAGCTTTAATCCATCTGAAAGATAAGACTACGATGGTATTGTCCTTTATCTTTCATTTATTCGATTATGCTCATGTTGCTTTTTAAGTTGTGAATAAAACATTGTTTGAATTTATTTTAATTGTACAAATTAGGATGTTTCAAACTGTTCATGTAATCAAAAACCTTTCACGTTAATGCACTTAGTATTATATTAGACTACCAGAACTATTCATATAAATAGAGTAAATTTAAATTTTAATGTATAATTTGCTATGCATTATTTAGTCTTTCAACCCACATCATTGTGATTAGATAACGTAATACATATGTTGTGATGACGGAGGAGACCAACAAGGTAAACAATCTTCTTTTAATTTTATAATTTATATATATATATATATATATTGATTATATGAAACATAGCAAGTAAAATAACATGCAAATTCCAATATCATTTAAATATTTACCTGTTCCACCCATAAATTTGTTGTCATGATTTGGTTCTTAAGATTCTGTAAAAGAAAACCATGTTAGCTTGGGGTCTATTGAAATATTTTATAACCTAATATTATTTCCATCAAGCACAATATAACTACAAAATGTGTATTCGAAAATGTCAAATATAAATTTCATTTTGCTATTTTCTAATAACAATAAAATTACTTAAATATGATGTTATTTATAAACTTGTAAATACCATTGCATTGTATTTTTGATGTGATTGAAGTGACGTTCGTTATTATTTATGAGCATATATTGAGAACAATCAGTTCAGGCTTTTTAGTGTTTTAGTGTATAAAGAAAATCGTTGTGAGAGTTTCGTCACAAGGAGCTCAAAATGTTTCTATTTTACTTCGATTTTCAATTACAGAAATCTTCAAATTTAGATCAAGAAGTTTCTTCAAGTGTTTTGTTAGCCTAGAGCGATTGAAATCAGAGGATACAATGATAATTATTTAGTTTACTTCTAAAGAATCAACTTAGAGTACAACTTTGTCTCCTCTTGAAAATCTATTGTAAAAAAGGATTGTCTGCGTCATTCAAGCTAGTGTCCATCCGTCTGTTTAGGAATTACACTCAACGAGCAGCGGTTCTCATCGGGCCCAACTTATACTATTTTATATATTTTTATGTTCGGGCAGTTATAATATTGTATGTTTAGTTTGTTTTTATGTAAGTTGTGAAGTTGATTAATAATTTAAATATGAATTCTGACTATAAAAAGGGATTTAGTGACTGGACGATGTTTTGGGATTTCATATAAGTAGTTTTTTAATTTGTGTTTTAATTTTTTTATTTATAGAAAGATAAACTGTTATATAACGTGTTATATAATTTTGTGTAAGTAATGTCTCTTATTGTTTTTAAAAAGAGTATATCATTCTTCAAATAAATTAACACTAGAGATAGCCTAATACTTCAAAATGAACTAACCTAGAACTCTCAAAATCAATCTGTAATATTGTCATAATCACTAGAAATAATTGTGTAAAGGGTTTGACGGGGCTTAAAACTTAATGAAAAAAATATATATGTTTTGAGCTATAACAAAAAAAGTCGAAAACAATCTTTGTACTATTGAACAAATTGTGGTTATGTTTTGTGTGAACAAATGTTTACAGTCAATTTTTATGCCCTATGAAAATGAAAATAAAAGTAAAAAAGGTATGTTGCAATTGATTTGACATACAACACCGCGTAGCCTTGTATTTTAATAGGAAACCACACAGTTAAGAACAATTTAAAAGTATACAATAAAACTAAATAAAACTTAACAGAGCCTTAATGTTTGTTTGATTTTTAACACGAAATTTATTTTTTTTATTTAGGAATACTGTGTGTGTGTGTGTTTTAATACTGTAACTAGAATGAAGTAATACCAACGTTTAACTAATCATTTTAATTTTTTCCCGTACATTGAGAATTATATTATAATATTCCCTGTGGTATTTAAATATTTAACAATTTAAATTAAAATTTTCGTGTAGAACAATTTTAAAATCAAAATATTAAACCCTGCCGACATTATACAACAATCATATTGTGATTGATTTTACCTTAGGAATACTTTTAAATGCCATTCAATAGAACCTAAAGTTTCTAGTTAATATTCGAAAACCTCATAAGTAGCTTAAATAGATTATTTACAATGAGTAAGTTATTAGCATAAAAAAAGGTTACTAACCTGTCGTCAATCAGTCCTATATTGTCGTGGATGACTATAGTGTCGGGATTAAAACCCCGTGTTCAAATCTTTCTCTTCAGTCGCCAAATTGTCAAACCCCGAAACTATAGTCATCCACGACAATATAGGACTGATTGACGACAGGTTATTGACCTTATGTTATGTCAATTAATCAATCCTGGAGGCAAATTATGTATAAAGTTATTGAAATAGGAATTGTTAATGTAGACATTAGGATGATTGACCAGAGCTAGTATATTTCTCTTACCACATCAATTAACTGGGAAAGTTTGAGCTTTATTTTGACTGTTAGAGCATCTGAGACGTTGACGACAGGCCGCACGAGCTTGTTGTAGTTTGAGAGTAGGTCGTCATACAAACGCTTGGCATCAGGGTTGCAACAGCATCCTGCAAAAAAAACAATAAAGCTAACAAACCCCTTAAATCGACTACTTTGAGAGCCACTGTATAATAACCACAACGATAGTTTTGCTACTTTTTATTCGGTAAAACTTCCATGGACATAACAAGGATTAGGAGGTTGGAAGATTGCCGGTGCGGGAGAGAATGGCTACATGTCCCTGCAACTACTCAGTGACTGTTTGTTTCTTCCAATATTGCTTTGTAGTTCACTGTTTTCTAACAAATGACAGTTGTTTCCGTACCAATGTCATGATCATTTAAAATGTAAATGATTAATCCTGTCACTTTATGTAGGAATTATTATATACAGACTATCGTATAAGCTACTTTCTTTTAGCTATACCAAATTCATAGAGGGATTGGTAAATCTGTTAGTACTAAACATACATAATCTACCAAAAGGTCTGTTTGTGTCTGATAAAACGCAAGAAAATTGCTTCGAAATCAATACTGAAAAATTTTTCGAAGAGCTAAATTCTGATATTATAGCCTCAAACCTGAATAACTTGAAATACCAAGTAACCTACTGGTAGCTTATCACTTTCATACAGTACCCATTAAAGACTCTATGGAACAGAAACACAATTTCTGGGCTAGTTTCTCCACTGTTACAAAAACATAGAGACCTGAATATAGAACTCCTTCGCCCCAAGGTACCAAGCACTACGAAGCATTAAAGCATTTGAGTTATACTAGGGGAAACCCGTCGAAATCGACGGTTACTTTCAAGGCTTACGTTAATTCATCTAACTGCGATGAATTGGGTGAAATATACATATTTTGAGCATTTAACATTGTTCAAAAAGTAATAAGTGTAAAAACAATAACAATATTGCGTTAGTTGCCAAATTTGGTTGTTCATTCAATGATTAAAATATTTCCTATCCTGTACGTCATCGGAGTTATTATTAGTATGTTTTATGGTATCTCTTCCTTTGGTAGAACCTTTAAATAGTATTTAAATCGTATTGGTGGATCTTGTAGTTTAACACTTCCGCGACTTCATCAGTGTTTGAGAAAAATATCTGTTTGTTGAGAAGACACGTTCTAACTTCAAAGGGAGGTATATCCGTTACAGTGTATGTTTGATTTTCCTTCGTCACGTAGCGTCAGTTCATATCGTACTTCTGTGCCAATGAATGAACCCTCTAGCAAAGTTTTGAGAAATTGACTGTGGGGTTACTGATAAAGCTGGAATTCCTTGACATGGGGGATGTCAGTCAGTTGTCTCGGCCTTATCAATAACTTAAAGTTGTCAATATAATCTCTCTACGGAATGTTAGGTGTAGTGGAATACATGAAGTAAAGTTGGCTTTTATTCTTCAACTGTTAGGGGCCTCCTAGTTTATATGATCTTGGCGGCTTCATTGGCAATAAATAATGCAAATGACATAGCAATGGAACATTTCCAAAAAGCAAAAATACTGTAAAATGGCTGTTAAAATACTTTAATCCTTTAATACGTTTTTTTATGGCGACCATTCATAGTAGGTATTTTAAGCCAAGTATGAATGGAGATGAGTGTAGGATGAGTGGCGCGATCTTGTAGTCTTGTTAGTGACTAAGGCCGACATTCCTTAGATACAGCTGGTAATTAATAGCCCATACAGCGAATGACAACCAAGGGACCTACAGTTTTTAGTTGAATTGGAACACATTTTTTTTGCATTTGTATTTATGAATTTGTATAATTATCAGGATAGCACTGCGGGTAGTCGTAGTACTCACTCGTGCGGACGTTAATTCACACCAGGGAGTATCGCATCCACAGTTCATTCCTATAAATATCCACAATTTGTGACCTCCTAGTAGCTGGATTACAGGACGACGCCACCCGTCCCAGTCAAAGGATTATGTGATCTAGTTTAAAAGGAATATGACCTTTCTGTCATGACAGTAGCTGCTTAAATTGTATTTTCTCTTTGTACCATATTTTACAGCCAAAATGTCGTGTTATTTTCAATAATGTTACTAATTCAGTGCGCCAAAGTCCGTAATATAGGCAGGTGCAAATAACTTGTCAAGATAGGTACCATTTTAGGCAATGTTTCTAAGTTTGGATTTTATTAGACACAATAAGAGCAGATATTTCTACATAAATATTTGATATTTTGTAGAATAATATTATAAAATGTAGGCAAAAGTTGCGAAAAAGGCACACACCCGTACAATATTATAGATATAAGATAGTTCAATAAGAAATTATTTAAGAATTGCCGTGATAAAAGGATTTTCCACTGATTTTGTAATGGAACGTTATATTGCAAAACATGGCATGATAAAGAAGAAAATCAATTTTAAAATCAGAAAATAACATTGCAAATACTTATTTGGTAGAATTCAACTCCCAAAAAATATGTGTTGTTTTAAATACAATTTAAAAATGAACAGCTGTTTCATTAAAACTATTATTCTCATGGCCAAAATGTAAACAACTTTGTGGAGGGATCTTTAAAGGCTTCTGGGGCAGAGTCCTAAGGTATTTTGCTCAGTTTATCTTTTCATAACTAACTAATCTACAGACCAAGACCTTTCTTTGGACACCTCTACCAAGTTGACACCCCAACCGTTCTCTCAAATTAGTGGGGACAAAGTTTCCAATCAAATATTTAGATTCCCCCATGTTAATCTTATGGGAGAAACTCCAACTTTGATGGCCTGTGGGGCAAAGCCCGAGGATTTTTACTACGTGAATTGGTGAAAGGGGGTGTCTACACCATAAATACTTTATTTTGACACGTAGTTTGTAAAAATCCGTCCATTATTAACGGGTTAGTAGTGTTTTGTAGAAATCGCCTTCACGTATTATATATAAGGATAGTATTTTATTTTTTATTTAGATTTAAAGATGAACATGATTTACGGTTGGGATGACACCCGACGCACGATCATTATTCTAGAAATTTGACTCACTGCAGGGCCCACTATATGGAGCGATTTGCATAACTGAAACCAAGCTAATAAACACACAGGACTAACAAGAAAACTAAGTCTACCTGCCACAAGAGACCAATTGGATATACCTTGACGAACAACCTGAAAACTCAGACTTGAAGAGAGGTTCTTAACACTACAACGGTAGATGCTAAATGCGAATATTTCATATACATACTAGTTTGAGAAATCAACAATGCAATGTTAAAAATCAACGCAAACATTAGTTCCAATCCAAATAAAGTATCCTGGAACGATGACCCCATCAAACTAAGAAAACTAATAAAGATAATACAGCTTGAAAAGATTGTGATAGAGAAATAATAAATAAAAAATCCGACCGTACAGTGACAAATAATAGAAGCCCCGAGCAAAAGAAAAGCAGTGCGGCAAATTACAAAAGGAGCAAAACCCCAACCTCAAAATAATTTTATATGATGAAAGGATGGTAGACCAAAAATTAATATGCCATAGCCTAAATCCCTACTTAATAAGTAGTGGGAAATCTAATACAAGAAACGTTAAAACTGGAAAGATTCATATATAATAACGGGTATCCATGAGTTTTTTGAAATTGGCTTCTGTATTGGCAATCAGAAAAATAAAGCTTTCGAATTTCTATATCCTGAAAGCGAGAAGGCCCTATTAAAAAAATACAACAAATGAAAACGTTCTTAATACTCTGTACAACCCAAAAAAAACCATAAACGTTCTATCAGCTATTTTAAAGTTGGTCACCAAATTGGACAATGGAGAAATTTTTAAAACTTCCAACAACTAACTTTCATTAACTATGAGAAATACGGAGATGGTTAATTTTTGATGACATTGCAAATTTGAGCAAACGTGTAGGTCGTAGAAAGGTGAAAGATATTAAATTTCATTTTAAAAATTTGAGTACACTACTTTCGGGATTCTGGATTAGCTTCGGATAGCTGGATAACTTCGGGATGCTGTGGACGCTCTGGAATAGCTCAATATGAAACTCGGAAGTTTGAATTTAAATTCGATAGTGTCCATTCCCATAATTTTATTAAAGACATATCGTTGTTTAGCTCAATGACCACTTGCTGGGAAATGGAAATAAAAATCCATCAAACCCAATATAATCTTTGGTAAAAAGACAATTTAATTTATTATTGTATCATAAGTAAATATATTTTATACCCGTTTTTATTTAAGACTAAATTGCCGTCCAATAAAAAGATTAATTGCAGTTTCAAAACATCTAAAATACAAGATTGATTTGGTTTTGGTCTATCTTGGATTATTCTTTGTTTTGTATTGGTATATATGTATAAGTTAGTCAGCCCTTTCGTGTGGTGGAGCAATGTCAAACTAATTAATCTTCCGTTGGATAGATAGATCTAAAGCAGAATATACATTGTTCATATAGCATAATATACAACTAATTGAAATCAAATTTGGTCTTTAGATAGGGGATGTTATGATTTGATTTTATGTTATGTTATGATGTTATGTTTTTAGTTAAAGGTTTGAGACATGAGGCAAATAATGTTATTATATTGCATCTATATATTTTATAAAGAGAAATTATTTTTACCAAAATCTACAAAAAAGAATAATCTTATAGAAAACAATCAGACACATTGTTTTTTTCTCTTAAATAATCTACGCAGAAAGTAAACGTGATTTAGAGTAGAAAATAATTGCAGTCTCGCATCTGTAGGCTTACTTTTGATGAAACCAAGAGTCATTAAATAAAAATTGGAAATTTAGCAAACAACTTATCTTTAATCGTGAACCCCTTATTACCATGATAAATTAACATTTTGAAAGTTTATGCTGAAAATTGCTAGAATGATAATGCTCAAAATGCTATTAACTAAGTAATTTTTTAACTATAAGGACTCTACCTCCGAAGACCATTAAATAACTTTTGCTAAAGATTTTCTGGTTTAACATTTATTTAAGAGAAACCCTCATTTGCAATTTGTTGTTTATTAATGCCCAATGCCCAATTGTTCAAAATAACTTTCAGTTTATCAAACTATACACCTAATTAGCTTGGTAATCATAAGTTTTACTTT